CATTAGAAACACCAACACAAATGTAAATACAAAGTATTTTCAGCAAGGACCATGCGTGGTTTGTGACATTCTACATAATCTGATTTTTCTAAACTTTTCATGTAATGATAAACAATAATTTGAACACATATGATGTAATTTGCATGTTTGCAGCTGACAAGAAACACCCATTTCTGTCTGTAAAAACTCCATCAACAACAGGCAGAATTGAAAACAATGTTACACAATGCACACTGCAGGAAGGGGAAGAACAAGCAAAGGTGATCACCTTCTGTACTGTCAGACGCCGAGGTGCCAAGACCCGTGTCCCCACTGTCCGCTGTCCCAGGCCGGCGGCCAAATCGACTTTGGAACTTCTCTGACACAGCTGGTGTCTGCCACTCCATGTCAGCAAACTGAGCTAATGTGAAACAGGACAATGGCAATAGAGAAGTACATCAACAAATGCTGAACTGAAACACAGTACGCATTTTGACTGCAAAGTGTCAACTTACCAGCTGGTTGGTTTGGAATCAATATATCTGTGTGAGGTTGTCATTCCATACGAGAAAATGTCACCTGGTTGAGATCAAGAGAAAAAAAAAATATATATATATATTTATTATAAGATATTTTAAGAGTGGTAGCCAACCTAATTTAAATCACTGGCCAAATTCTTGAAATATCTTAATGTAGGTTAGATAAGTTTACTTCTCAGTCATAAGCAAAATATCTAACAAGCTATTGTTAAGATTTAATTAACTGGAAAAGCAAAGACTGGGTTGGTAGCTATGGCGTTGTGATGAACCAGAGACTGTGATACCATCTGGACAAAGGCTCCTTTCGTGCTCACTGTATATTGTGAAGTGATGGTCCAAAGTCTAGGACACAGCAGCTGTTAGCTGTTGACTGATTTGATCACCTATCAAACTCATGTGCCCCTCAACAACCTCAAAAGACTCCTCTGGGTAGCAACAGAAATAACAACATGAGCACATGTCTTATCCTTACATAATGTGTTACACAAACATCTATATCCATAATAGGAGGCTACAGGAAGTTGTACCTTCGGTGGCAAGCCGATATAATGCTTACTGATGGGTACAGAGAAGCCTGGTTGTTACACACTAATCCTCTTAACCAGCTAATTCATAAAGGAAATAACTGCTAACACAAGGCAGGCTATCTTCTTAACGAGACTAATTGCTTAAAAGCATTTATTTAAATGTTATGATAAACAACAACCTAAACGCGATAATCACAGCTAACGAAGATGATGCTTAAAATCGACAACTTTTTAAAGATTTCTTCGAAATAACGTTCATTTGTTTAGTAAGATGCTGTGGACCGATGCTCGTTAGCTGATCCAGGACAAATCCGTTTCCGTCTTACAAGCTAACGTTAGCTATCAGCTAACAAACCGTTGCGGTTTGCTACTTGAGTTAACATTAAGGTATGAATATGTGTTAGCTTCCGTGCTTACATTACTGTGGCTAAGCTCTATAAACTGACAAACTGTTACTTTACCTTTTGTTTCACATGAACACAGAATAATGCAGTTAGAAATCTCAGTTTGAGGCTGGCAACCGAATCTGTACCATCCGCTGCTGCTGCCGCTGTTGTTCCGGTTGCCAACTGAACTGATCCGCTCTTCTGATGGAAGACATCAGACACATAAAGCGCGCGTGTTTAATGTCACAGCGCCGCCCGTTGAACGGTTACGCTAAGAAACCGTTTGCAGATTGCTTGCCTGCAAGGGATATGCTTCCGGAGTGGTTACGTTTTTGCAGACTGCAACTTAAAACCCAGGGTAGCACAGTACGTGAGACTTTTCTTAAAATATAGCTGCTGTTTCAACAAAGGGCTTGACTAGGGTCATTCTGCCATATGACCAAAAACACTGCAGTGATTTAAAACGAACAATTTAAACCTAACAAAGAAGGCTCAGTTTGCTACAATAATCTCGGAAATAAGGCTTTGGCTCCAAAATGTTAACCTTTTAAGGTTTAACGTTTAATCAGACTTAAAACTAATAATGTGTATTATTGGAAAATTACACAAAAAACTAAAATAGGCAGTCACATCAACAAATACACATGTCCTCTTTAAATTAGATAACATGGATTTCCACAACAGTACAGTTACTGTTGTGGAAATTGTGTTTGAGCCATAGTTCTGCTCACAACTGCAATAAACTTAAAACCATATAGCCATATATGGCTACTGATATTGAGATCATGTAGAAGGAATCAACGCCGAACATAATTGATGAAAACATTTGAAACATCTACCAAATTGACATGCTGCCATTCAGGATCTTTATTTTTTCAGAGGATGAAATACAAATACTGAACACATCTTTTTTTTCTGTCTTATTTTGGGAGAATAACAATGAATGCACTACAAATACTTAGGAATATTTCCATATGCTTGCCAAAAGGCACTGCCTGATCTGATGTAAGGCATTTTGGAAGGCCTTGTGATTTGTGTTTGAACAACTTTCATCAATCATAACCAATAAAAGCTTCTGTATTGATAGATCTCTCAGCACTACACTTTCAGTTATGCAGGAGTTTAGGTTGTGAGCTTTAGTGAAGACAACAAAAAAGGGCTGAAGCAGCTGTAACGAAGAAATAAGAGTCATGTTAGAGATATCTTGTTTGTGTTCAGCAGAAGTTTAATCTACCAATCTTGTTAACATGTATATCATACATTCATCAAGACAGTTGTTTATTAGGTCGTCAGTCTTATTACATTCATTTCTGCCTGATCTTATGGTTTATCTTATCATCTTTCCAAACTATTTATAATTCCCCATCAGTGAAACAACAACGCTTACACATTTTTACATTTTAAGCTTCCACTGAAAAGCAGGTAATGTAAGAGCTGACCTTTCACCTTTTGTGTTAGTTTGCTACGTTTTGTATGCATTTCTTCTCTCTCATTCTCTGTGACCAGCAATGCACATACAACTGACTGTCTCACGTTATGTTGCAAAAAAATAGATGTATAATTTGCTCTATTTATATTGTAAAATGTCAGCAGTTGTTTGTTAAAATAGCACTTAATTCTAAAAATGATACAATGTAACAAGTGTTATAATGCATTGATTGATGTGTGAGCATTCTGAATATACGAAGTAGGCAGGACTGGGTCTTTTTTCTTTTTATCTCTTATTAATATGAACAAATTCATCCACTGTGTAGTTTCTATGTGACAGGCTGTCCTCTCTGTCAGCCGGACACAACTTCACCTGGGGATCCTGCTTACAGCCACCCCTCCTCCAACACACACGAACACGCACATGACCAATGAGGGCACTCGATAAGTTTGTGCACAGATGGAAGGCTGACAGGCAGGTAGGCCATCCAGTTATTTTAGCCGGGCCGGCTAAAATGATTGGTCGTGCTTTTACAGTAGCCTACTACGGATTCCACAGATGAATTTCTTTAATGGATTTTTTGTCAAAGCACTTAAGATATTCATTGCTATCGGGATGTTAAGAGCATTCCATGGAATATAACAAAAAGTGTATCTCGAGCCGGTTTCTCAAACTTACCTACCCCACCTTTAAAGGTAGCCAGGGTAGGTAAAATAATAATAAATTATCATTACACCTGGGTAAAACAGAGTCCATTCTCTTCGGTTCGAAACATAATCTCAGCAAATCCGACGACTTCTCAGTTGCAGTGGGTGACATTATTGTCACAAGTAAGAAGGAAATTACATACCTAGGATCTATTCTTGAGGCAAACCTCTCCTGTGACAAAATGGCATCCAATGTAATAAAAAAAGTCAATCAAAGAACTAGATTCCTATACCGGATCTCCTCTCTGGTAAACAAAAACACCCTGAAAACTCTGGCAGGAGCACTCATTCAAGGGTACTATGACTATGCTTGCACGTCATGGTACCATAGCACCTCCAAGGCGCTAAAAATAAAACTTCAAACATCGCAAAATAAACTGGTCAGACTACTGCTTGACCTTTCATCTAGAACCCACCTCACCTCTGCCCACTTTGACAACCTAGGATGGCTTAGAGTAGATGACAGAGTACAGCTACTTGCAATGGGCCTGGTCTACAAGATCCACTACACCTCTATGGTACCCATGTACATGTCAAAATTCTTCCCAAAGGTCAAGGAATACCATGATCATAACACCAGAGGGAGCTCCACAAATCATGTAAAACCCAGATTTGGCACAAAAAAAGGGGAATACACGTTTCGCAATTATGCCACATCAAGGTGGAACGCTCTTCCCACAACTGTAAAGGAAAGTAAAACTATACTTACCTTCAAAACCTCTCTTAAAGAGCACCTTCGGGGGAAAGCATTGCAAAACTGGCCCCGGTAATGGTACAAATCTCAACCTGTCGTACAATGGACAGCTTCCCCCCCCCCATCTATGTATATACTCGCATTTTAGACTCTGTTACTAACTGTATATCTGTAGACTTGGTATGTCTTAAATGTCCGGTTAGGATGTATTAGAACGAAATCTAAAATGAAAATTGTAAATAAGCCATCTGTATGTAAAAAAACACCTGTATGTAAATTGTAAATAAGCCATCTGTATGTCAAATATGTCTTATATGTCTTAAATGATATGATGAATTGGAAATGGGGGACCCTGATGTAAACAAGACGAAAGTCTTTCTCTGGTCTGCATCCCCTTAACAATTGTATGTTTTGAGCTGTACTGTACTGTACCCAATATACAAGCTGTTAATAAACTTTTCAATCAATCAATCAATCAAAATGGAGAAACCAGCTCGAGTGCGCTAGAATTTGAAAGTATGCAGCCGAAGAAAATCTGCCCCTTCCTTCAGACTTCCGTACAGAGCCCCTTTTACTTAAGTATAATATCTGAGTTCTTCTTCCAGGACTGCATGAACACTGTCTCAAGTTAACCATAGGTGTACATGTAAAGATTACTTCGTCGTTAGAATGCTTTTATTCTGAAATACACACCGACCGGAAGCCATTATTCTGTTTAGGTTTTAGCTCGCAGACCAAAGTTGCGTGATCTGCGTGCTCACTGCTCAGTGCAGTGGGAGGAGGGTTGTCTTCACAAGGTATTAGCGACAATCCTGTCAACAAACTCACATAGAGTGTGATGAATCACGTTTACTGAATGGACATTTCTTGACAGAAGCATTTTTAGTTCAAGGAAAGCGGTGAGATTTATTTGGCAGTCGTTAATCTCAATTCCAACGTTTTTAATGTTATCGTACATGAAGTGTTTTGTTTAGCTAGCAAGGTAACGGATAAGCTAACAGCATCTACTTGGTGAATGTCAGGTCTTAAAGGCCCGTTGCATAGGTGGCTAACGATTCTTTCAAGAAAATAGCGCATTGACGTCAAATAATTGTGTTTTTCGAAACAGCCCGCCGATTATAACACTAACAGAGATGAAAAGCTTATGCTAGTTAGCTCATGAACTCGCCTTATTGGTGTTTATGACGGGAGCATCGCCCACTGTGTTGGGCACTGGGGTTAGCAAAGTCTGCAGATCAGCTAACGTAATATGACATACTTATGGCTAGCTGTTTATAAGACAACCCATAATGAGCGATGAATTCAAATTGCTGAGCACCTTTGCTCTAAAACTTGTAAACGTGGAATTCCTTTATAAAAAGTGTCTTTCTGTGTTATTATCTCACTATTTTCAACGTATTTACAGTGCATTCTGGAGGAAAACTGAGTAAATGTCATCAGTGCTTTGACATCTCCACTCCGGACCCCAATTGATGTTTTGTGGTATCAACATGACTGCTGTCAACATCACCAGAGACATCCTGCACAGGCAGATCAGAGTGAGTTAACAAACAGCATCCTGTGGAGCCACATCGACTGACAATTTGTCAGACACAACCCGGAATACTACCTCAACCAATAGCATTGTTCACATTTTGTATCGATCATTTTATGCACAAAAGTCTGATAAAGATGCATGTGTTCAGGACAAGAGAGCACCAGCCTTCCAGAGGTCCTATCATGTGACCGACCCTTTCATCAAAAGACTTGGGCTGGAGGCCGAGCTTCAGGTCAGAGACAGTGTGTTTGTTGGTGCATGTGTTGAGGGAAAGAGTTTTTAAACGAGCGCGTGAGAGTGAAAATATTCCTTAGTATTATCATATCTTCTTTTAATGTATGCTGTCTGTCTTAACAGGGTCACACTGGCTGTGTGAACTGCCTGGAATGGAATGAAAGTGGAGAGTAAGTCTATACAATTTCCCATTTTGCCTATTACAATAGCTTTTGACCTAATGCCTAACCCTTAGGTGTATAGTGAAGAGGACCCCTCTATGGCTCATCTTAACACTTCACAGATCATAAAAGGCATAAGTAGTTACGAGCCTCAACAAATATTGCTTGACTTGTATCGGTGATTGTTTTTTGTTTTCAGTTTACTGGCCTCGGGCTCGGATGATCAACATGCCATCGTCTGGGATCCATTCAAACACAAGAAGCTTACCACCATGCACACAGGTCATGCAGCAAATATTTTCTCTGTAAAGGTAAGAATGACTAATGTAAAGTGGGTGCATTGAATGTCAGGAGGGAAATTAGGCTACTGTTATACAGTTGTAGATTACTTTAGTTGCATTCACATACATACTGATAATCTAGTCGTAATGTGATGATGATAACTCTGTGATACAAGTTCAAACTCAAACTCAAAAAGTTGTTTGATTTAAAACAATGTAGTGTACAACACAAACTGTTTTATTGCTGCACAGAAAAATCGCCAGTGGCATACCACTGTAGCCTTATGACTGAAGTATCAGGATAAGTTAAAACACTGTACAGAAAATGTGTGGTTAATGGCAATATATGGATCGAAACATCATGTCAGTACATATCAATTAATTCTGCTGTTTTGTGTGTCCATACAGTTCCTCCCTCACTCCGGGGACAGGATCTTGATAACAGGCGCAGCCGACACAAAGGTCCATGTGCATGACCTGTCTGTGAAGGAGACCATCCATATGTTTTCTGATCACACCAACAGAGTCAAACGCATTGCCACAGCCCCCATGTGGCCCAACACCTTCTGGAGCGCTGCGGAGGATGGCATCATCAGGTTTACATTTAAATTGAAATTAAAACACACCCTACCTCTAATTTTGCTCCAGGTAATGTGTTTACATTCTTCTTCGTCTCCACAGGCAGTACGACTTGAGGGAGAACAGTAAGCGCTCAGAGGTGCTGATTGACCTCACGGAGTTCTGTGGTCAGCTGGTCGAGGCCAAGTGTCTCGCAGTCAACCCACGGGACAACAACTACATGGCAGTGGGCGCCAATGGGCCTTTTGTTCGCCTTTATGACATCAGGATGATTAACAACTACAGGTTGGTTTCGTTTCTGATGTTATTCTATGATAATAATTCAATAACAGTGTTACTTCTTAAGCCTATTAATATTATTGGTTATTCTGCCCTTTTATTTCTAGATTAATAGAATAACTGTTTTTAAGAAATGTCACAAAATAGGGAAAAATGTCCCAGATGATGTCTTGAAATGTTGGTTTTGTCAGTCCAGAACCAACAGAAATTCGGTTTAATGTGACGTAAAACCGAAAAGCAGGAACTCTCCTTATTTGACTGAAAACAGCATTTTCTGACATTTCTTATGAACAAGCTCTTCAGGTTTATCCACTTTCAAAATATGTTTGGATGATTTATCTGTCGATCAGCTCGTTATTACAGTGCATTCACCATTCAAGCTCTAAAATAAATATCCACAACTGTGTTTTAAAGAAGTTTTTTTTTTTAACAGGAAATCTATGAATCAGGGCACATCAGCAGCTGTGCACACATTCAGTGAGAAACCCATCCCAGACGGAGCTGGGCAGTATTACGTTGCAGGTGAATATAAGGATGAATTGTCTGGTATAAATAGTATTAAATGAGTACATTATTATTCAAAATATATAGTTTAGTCATCAGGAAATGTGCTGGTTAAATGTGTTTGTGGAGGAAGTGGTTAAATAACATAACATTCTGTTTAAATGCTTCAGGTCACTTGCCAGTGAAACTCCCAGACTACAACAATCGCCTGAGAGTCTTGGTGGCCACCTATGTCACCTTCAGTCCTGATGGCACTGAGCTACTGGTTAACATGGGTGGTGAACAGGTACTTTAAAAAAACAACCAAACAAGGAGTGGTTAATAATCTCTGGTTCAGTGTTTAAACATGTGCTTTTGCTTGGTCCTTCTAGGTGTATCTGTTTGACTTGACATTTAAACAGAGGCCATACACCTTCTTGATTCCAAAGAAGTGCCAGTCATCAACAGGTAGGACTGTGAAATATATATCAACAAAGGTGCCCCATAAAGGCAAATCGAGTACGATATCTCTAGTTGTCTTGATGGTTTCTGAAACTTTTGTTGTTTTCCAGGAGATGTACAGAATGGAAAGACAACCAATGGCGTCTCAAATGGAATTGTCTTGCCAACCAGCCATATTCGATTTTCCGGAAGCACGACGGGCTCTAGGTTTGTCTTCCCACCCTGCCATTGATTGTTTTTCTAACGAGATTGACTGTTTGGTCCTGCACGCACTTTACGTTATATTTCCTCTGCTCACTTTGTTTCAGTTCTACTGAGCTCCCTGCTTACTTGGAAAAGATAAAGCAACAAGCTAATGATGCGTTTGCACGGCAGCAGTGGACGCAGGCCATCCAGCTGTACAGTTTAGGCATTCATCAGGCCAGCTGCAACGCCATGCTGTACGGGAACCGGGCAGCAGCATACATGAAACGCAAGTGGTAAGCCTCACTTTATCACTGCACAATGGATGATGTTCTTTTACTGAACGATATTCAAATCTATAATCAAGTGTTTGTTTACATGTCACAGGGACGGAGACCATTATGATGCCCTCAAGGACTGCCTGAAGGCTCTGTCTCTGAACCCCACTCACCTAAAGGCTCATTTCAGGCTGGCACGCTGTCTGTTTGAGCTGAAGTACGTGTCTGAAGCTATGGAGTGTCTGGATGATTTCAAAGGGAAATTTCCAGATCAGGCCCACAGTAGTGCTTGTGATTCCTTGGATAAAGATATCAAGGCTGCTCTCTTCACCAAGACAGAAACAGGTAGGAAAGACAGAACTGATACTCTGCTGATTTCCAATAAATAACCCTCATTTAGTCAACCAAATCCTGTACCCAGTTTGATTTTGGAATTAACACTGCCTTTAGGTAATTCCCAATCGCCCTCTTACTTTCGACGTGCGCCCTCATACCAAAATGCAGATTCTCCGAGTAAAATGTTAAAGTCATGCCAGATAACAATATTTATATTCGTCTAAAACGTTTTAATTACTAATAATATATGAAAATCGTCTTGTTTGAGGTGCAATATATTTGTATTATTATATTCGGGATTATGGGAAACGGTATTTCGATCTCTGTCTGTACACACAAACTGAAAGATTGACAATAAAGTTGACTTTGACTGACTTGGCAGCTTTAAGACATGAAGAAACTATTATTTTCCGCTTTGCTCTAATGTATTATTTTTGCCGGAAAGTGGGCAGGGCCGTAATTTTGGCGTAAGCGCCCTCACACAATAGTTTTCTAGGAAAACCCCTGGACACTTTGACACTGGTGCTGCGGGAGGCGTGTGGCACAGTGGATAGAGCTTTGGTATGGGGATCAGATGGTCACAAGTTCAAACCCCACTGCAGTCAGCATGTCGTTGTGTCCCTGGACAAAACACTTCATGTACGATAACATTAAAAATGTTGGAATTGAGATTAACGACTGCCAAATAAATCTCACCGCTTTCCTTGAACTAAAAATGCTTCTGTCAAGAAATGTCCATTCAGTAAACGTGATTCATCACACTAATGTAATGCTGCTTGTGTGAATCTATGTGCAACAGACAGCCTTTGTTTGTAAGTGTATCTGAATGACTCCGTGTTAACAAGTATAACTTTTCTTACCCTCACCAGCTGAAGATAAGAAGGCCAACAGCTCCATTCGATTCCACTCATTCAGTCGGAAAGAGTCCATCCCTGAAGACGAGTTGGTGCTGAGAGAACGCAGCTTTGACTACAAGCACAGATACTGCGGCCACTGCAACACCACCACTGATATCAAAGAGGCCAACTTCTTTGGAAGGTCAGTAGATCTCCACCCAGTCTGCTGAGGTCCACTAGAGCAGGGGTTCCCAAAGTGGGGGTCGCGAGACCCCGAGGGGGGGTCGCGAGATGATTATAGAAAAGATTATATTTTATTTTAATTATTATTATTATTATTATTATTATTATCCAGTGTTTCCCACATAATTTGATTCTCTTTAAAGGGGACCTATCATGCAAAATGCACTTTTGTACGTCTTTTCTACATGAATATGTGTCCCCGGTGTTCCAGGGAACTCACCAAGTGTCAGAAAACACAACCCTCTCTATTTTCCTCCATACCCAAATCTCTAAAAAAGGGGCTGCAACGGATCTGATAAAAACTGATCCAGATTTGAACACTGTCCTGACGTCAGGACGGTGGCGCTACGGCTATTGGGCCAACTCCACCAATCAGGAGGAGACAGCCACGGCCATTGCCGTTCGAAAGCGCTGGAGACGCTGTAGTACATATGCCAGGCCAGTAGATGGTGCTGTTCTCACAGAATCTGCCCTTGCTTAAACAGAGCTAGAAATTGTCAAATTGAGCAAAATGAGGCATGGCTAAAATGCATGATCTGTTTGGTATTTAAAAAAAAAAAAATGTATGGTCCTACACTATATTATTCAAATATAGCATGATAGGTCCACAGATTGCTGTGAGGCGCTACCTAAACCCTTCTGTTCTTTGGATGACAGCTTGCGCCTCGACGCACTCCGTGAAGGTATTTCGTGTTCGGGATCATTTGTTTTTTATCTAACATTGCTTCGTGCAAGTGACAATTGTTGTCTTCTCTGTGAACGTTTTTTTCGCTGTTCTTTTGCCATTTTGAGATTTAAATTTCTAGCGGAAAGCTAACCAAGAAGTGTTTTAGCACACCACGTGACGCATCTGAACAAATCACGTTGTCAGAAATGTACACCAGACAATGAGATTTAGTTTTTTGGTTTAAGACCCCTTTGTACTTTCACGATTGGTTGCTGATACAAAGGAAATGACCATATTTGGATCCGATGAGATTGTGCAGGAGAGACGGAGCTTTCGAACGATACCTCTGATTACATGGTGCAAACAGCGGTCGCGGTACTTTATGTTACGTTAGAAAGCTAACTTTTGGTGAATTTAGGAGAAATCTACAGACGCAAATAGACAAACTATAGTAAAATAAACACCTGAATGTGTATTTTGTACATTTTCCTTCCAAAAGCCTGAAAGAAAACATGTTATGGAATCAAAATAGCACAAAATATCAAAATCGACCAGTGCATGAAAAACGATGTTTTTGCCTGCCGTGTCTCGCCTTAATGAGTGAGACACACCGAAGTTGAGGATCTGTGGGGTTTGTATGTCGATGTATGGGAAACACTGTTATTTGTATTACTATTATTAATAATAACGTGTGCATAGAAATGTTTCAGGGGCGGACTGCTCCTCCTCCCCCGTTGACAATTCACGTGGCGGGGGGTCGCCAGTCTCTGGCACAGTTATTTTGGGGGTCGCGGGCTGAAAGGTTTGGGAACCCCTGCACTAGAGGGCGGTCACAGCTCGAGATGGAGATCAGTAAATCTGCAGCGGAGAATCAGTAGAGCAAAAATCTACAATGAAAAGTAGCTTTCATTCAGAAATAAATGCTCTAGTACTGTATCTACTATGCAATGTTGTGATTGCTCTTAGTACGACATGGCACTGCAGGTGGGTCTGAGTGGTTTCCTTTTCTCTTCAGCAAAGGCCAGTACATTGTCAGCGGCTCAGACGACGGCTCCTTCTTTATCTGGGAAAAGGAGACGACTAACCTGGTGAGGATCCTGCAGGGGGATGAGTCCATAGTGAACTGCCTGCAGCCCCACCCCAGCTACTGCTTCCTGGCCACGAGCGGTATCGACCCTGTGGTTCGATTATGGAGCCCAAGAGCTGAGGTAAAACACAGAAATGAAGGCGTATTGATATATATTCCTACATTTGTTATTTTTCTTTATTTTTGTTTCATTACATAATTCCAAAATCATTGATTTTGAGCCAGAATTTGAAAATACATGGCAATTTCCTACAGGATATTTTGCTGTTGGAAGATTCAGTATAGCTATCCGCAGTAGTAGTAGTACAAGAAATAGGAACTACCACTCTCAGATAAACTGTGATTGGTCATTGTCCACAATCACGGTCTAGATTTTCTTTTGGCTCTGTATTCCTGAATTCAGAGCCAAATGGAGGTGTCACACTCTAGTTTTTCTCACAGGCAATTTGAACTACAATATTCTGTAAGGTTAATATGTACTGTTTGCCTAATGACACCAAACATACTGCCTATACAAGCTTTAACCCTTTATCACTCATTCTGTATCCCTTTCTCCTCCCCTTTCATAATACAGACAGAGACTGAGAACGGGCGGGTGGTGGAGGACATGGAGAGTGCTGCTCAGGCGAATCAGCGGCGCATGAACGCTGACCCGCTGGAGGTCATGCTGCTCAACATGGGCTATCGCATCACAGGCCTGCGTGGCGTCGGTCCGGATGGCTCCGATGATGAAGACAGCTCTGACGGACAAGTTCAGTGTCGGCCAAGCTAAACAAATCTCAGCCATTCTAGAGAATGGATGTAGGAAGCAAAGCGCTCTCCCAGCTCCTGTTTGAATCTTCCCCCCCAACCAATCTGACAGAAACATTAATTGAATGTCATGTCACATCTCTGCACTATGCATCGCCCTCCCCTTTCCAAAGAGAGGACTGGTGGAGACCACTTTGGGGAGAGGAATTTATGGAGGGTGGAGAAGACAAACATCTCGCCCCCTTCAAAGCACCAACCTCAGGGGGACACCTTTGAGGAGAGCACCTTCCACCACACTCCCCAGTTTGTCACGAAGACGAGGGAGTTCAGCACTTATCCCTCCTCAGGTTTATGTTGGAGAGACACTCAACACGCAGAAGGCCCTCAGACGACCTATTTTCAGGTCAGTGTGGCTGCACAGTCGCAGTGTCCTCCCGGAGGATCAGATCACAGACCAGAAGACGGTGCTTTGTTGCACCTCCTGTCTCCTGGAGTCCGAGTGCCCGCTCGTCTCAGAAAGGCTGCACACCCAACACGACTTGGTCATATTTTTTGTTGGAGTTGTGATCACAGGAAGCCAAGAATAAATTGTCTCTCTCCAAGTTGTATTGTTGCTCCCAAGAAATGTATTTAAAAGCTGTGTTACGTTTATAACTGTCAGAAAAGTGTTTTCTTCTGCCAAAGGTCGTCACTTCAATGGCCAAGGATTAATGTCTGTTGTCTTTGTTTCATTGAAACATCATGTTGGCATACTGTTCTCCTTTTTAGTTGAGATGTTTTACTACAATAGTTTGTTGACAAGATCAACAACATATCAACAGAAGAACATTTGTAAAAAAAAAGAAAAAACGTTCTAATGCAGTTTTTATGTTATAAATCAAGCCCCATTGATTGCTTATGTCATTTGGCATGAAATGTTAGTGTGAAACTTCTGTTGGGTATAAGAGGGGCACGGATGCTAATTTTTGCTATATGGTAACAGGGCGCTACATGTTTGGTGGCTATAGGGTTTCTGCCTACTAGCTGCGTGGCTCTAGCGCTAGTCCTCTGCTGCAGCCAGGTGTTCAGTCCTGCTTGCATGAGGCTTCTCTGACCATAGTTGTGAGCAAAAATGGACACTAAGCCATCCCAACTGTTGCTCAGAGAACAGCCCGTTGGGTCTTCTTTCCCCCTCAAAAGGGTAACTTTAAGGTCCTCAACATCATGCAACACTAAGCTTCCATGTGTTTTACTTTGCTCATTCATTTGAGATTTGAGGAATCTTATAATTATCTTTGTTGCAAACAAAGTCAACAATAAAAGTATTGAACACCTTGTCTGTATTCTCTTACTTTCATTCTTAAAACATTAATGATGAATTGTTTGTCCTTTTAGTGTCATAACAATTGCACATAAGATACAGGCAGTACTGACACATCACTAACTAGGCTGGGAAGATACACTGCTGGTGAGTTTACGGTATGAACTCTCTTATATCCTGCTCATTCATCAGTGTCTGCTTTACTGCTGACTACTGTGAAACAAATATGAGGACAGTACATCACAAGCATGAGTAGTTAGGGGGGCATCTCCTGCCCCATATACCATACAGTAATGAGGTGACCCAGTTTTGGGGGTAGTGGAGGATACATTGATAAAGCACACAGCCGAGTCTGGCAGTTTGGGTGCCGAATAACACTGAAGGGACAGATCTGAAAATCTATCAATCTGTAAATGTTTGATAAATGGATACCAACATAATCCTGATTTAAATAACACATGAGCACAGCCTCTTTATGTTTAAAGCTCCCTGTGATGGAATAATCTCAGTTGATCCACATAACTTCAAAAAACATTATCATAGAATCAGGTGTACACGTGCCTAATAAAACCTTTATTTATGTTTTCAAACTTTCTTAATCCTATCACTTTTTTTATTTTATACTTTGTTTAATTTGTGACGCATTTATCGTCATAATTGTGGTTGTATATAAAAAAACATTGCAGTGGCTTTTCCGTTTACTGGTTTAAGAAAGTAAAACATTGAAACAAAGGTAGGCCTACACGGACTACCTAGAAAGACTTAAAAATTAAATATACAATTTACAGAATGAAAATGAATAAAAACAACATTATTGTAATCGTAGAAACAAAAGACTGAGACCTTGCAAAAGTCCTCCTTTATCCTTTATAAATGACCGTACCCAAACGCCACGCTCAACACACAAATGAGGGGTGTTGCGTTCAATGACCGACAGATGGCTCGGTTTATCCGTGGAGACGCGCTTTCACGTCGCCTTGCGCCGCCTGTGCGTCACTTATCTCCGGTCACTCCTCCTGGCAGTGATGGCGGAAGTGGACGAAACCGACATCATGATGAACTACCACGGAGACTTCTTAAAAGGCGACAAAAAAAACAACCGCTACCCGTATTGCATCGTCTGGACGCCTATTCCTATTTTATCGTAAGAAGCTCTAACACATGCTGCATTTCTTGCTAGCGTACCTGCAACGTTACAGCGGGTTGTTATGTTGCTAATGTCAGATGACATGATGACAGGTTTATGTTAGCTGGTTGAATCTCATGTTGTTTACAGTACTTGCTTTAAGCGAATGATTGCATACAATGTACTCCACGTCCTCTACCTAATGTATTCTGATCCTACTGTTTTGTGATGGGTGCATTCTGCAGGTGGGTGTTCCCCTTCATTGGTCACATGGGTATATGCACCTCTGCTGGAATTATACGAGATTTTGCAGGATCATACTTTGTCTCGGTGAGTAGGCCTACTGCTTTAGAAAAAGTAATATGATATGTATTTATTAGCTACAGTAGTTAGTTTCACGTCTAATGAAATGGCATAGGTAATTGCAGTCATTGAGTAATTCATGCTGACTTACTCAATGACTGAATTGTTTTGATTATCTTAAACCTTAAAGATACACTTTTGCGTGAGATATGTTTTTTATATACTTTTAACCTTTGTACACCCCCTTAGAATATTGTCTGCATTTTTTTTAATGTAGTAGTATTTTCTAATATTTTTTATCATAATTGTTTCTATTTTAGATGTATGTTTCTAGTCTATGCACTAATACACCAGACCAGAGCATATTCCTTGTATGTAAAAACCTACTTGGCCATAAACAAGATTATGATTCATTCAATGTTTTACAATTTAAATTTGGATTTTTTTTCAGGAAGATAACATGGGCTTTGGAAGACCTACAAAGTAAGTTTCTTACTTAAAATACTGTCAAAAAGTATTTGGGTCACACCTTATGACACAGTTTAATGAACATATGGATTGTTTACTATTATCACAGGTATTGGAAGCTTGATGTGGACAAAGTTTGTGGCAATGGAGCTGCTATATGGGACAAAGCAGTGCACGACGCCTCTGAGGAATACAAATGTAGGCCGGTAAGACGATATTTAGGATTTTTGAAACTTATATTTCCCCTTGATTATTCACATTGTAATAAAACATTTTTCTGTTTTGTTTAAGCACAATCTGTGCTTAGATAACTGCCATTCCCACGTTGCCATGGCCCTCAACCTTATGCGCTACAACAACAGCACGTCTTGGAACATGATAAAACTGTGTGCGCTGTCTCTTATTCATGGAAAACATGTGAGGTAAGTTTTTAAGACTCATCCTGCCATTTGTTTTACCAAAAAAGACACTTCATACATAAAGAACCCAGCCACACTTCCAGGTTACCATCTTGTTAATAGGTTAAAATAATTTACTACAGAGTGCTTATTTGCATTGATTACACCATAGCATTTGTGTCTTAAACATTTTGTCTGGCAACAACAGTTACTTTGTTAAGACTTATCAGATTTACTTACTGTTACATTATAATTACAATACATTTTGCAAATATTGATTCTGTTAAAGGTCCCATGTCATGGCCATTTCTACTGATCATAATTCCATTGTTGAGGTCTACTAGAATAGATTTACATTGTTCAATGTTCCAAAATCACATTGGTTTTCTCATACAGCATCTCTGTTTAGTAGGACTGCTCGATTATGGCAAAAATCATAATCTCGATTATTTGGGTCAATAATTGATATCACGATTATTAAAAACGATTATCCATTTACTTTGAAAACATCCACAATGTGAACAGTATGTTTTTAACAGTTGATTACCCTGAACGTTAAGTATAATTCAATTGAAAAACCAATATTCTTTTTTTAGAAACATTACATTTAAAAAAAAAAAAAAAATCAATAATCGTTTTATTTAAATTATGTTGTTTTCATAATCGTTTCAAGCCAAAATCGTAATTGCGATTAAAATACGATTAATTGAGCAGCCCTACTGTATAGTATGTGTATTCACTCTCTGTCCTACACGCCTTGTTGGAGCTCCTGCCCACCCCCCTCCCTATGAGCCCACTGTGCTCTGATTGGTCAGCTCGCCCACTCTGTTCTGATTAGTCAACCACCGTTACAGCTGAACATCAGTGTTTATGTGTTACAATGGCGTTTGTTAGCAACCAGAAAATGACACCAGTAATGACAAACAGATGAGAATGCTGCGTGGGGTCTGGGTGCCGTGTTGCGGGGCTCGCTGCTCCGCCCTTTGAGGCTCGAGGAGCGGACAGTGTGAGCTGGATTACTGGTGTCGTTTCCTGGTTGCTGCGTGGGGTCTGCGAGACACCGCGGAGCTCAGCCTGAGCACACACACACACTCACAGCCTGAGCTCCGAGTGTGTGTGTGTACGGAGCTCCGCGCAGCTGTGTGTGTGTGTGTGTGTGTGTGTGTGTGTGTGTGTGTGTGTGTGTGTGTGTGTGTGTGTGTGTGTGTGTGTGTGTGTGTGTGTGTGTGTGTGTGTGTGTGTGTGTGTGTGTGTGTGTGTGTGTGTGTGTGTGTGTGTGTGTGTGTGTGTGTGTGTGTGTGTGTGTGTGTGTGTGTGTGTGTGTGTGTGTGTGTGTGTGTGTGTGTGTGTGTGTGTGTGTGTGTGTGTGTGTGTGTGTGTGTGTGTGTGTGGTGTGTGTGTGTGTGTGTGTGTGTGTGTGTGTGTGTGTGTGTGTGTGTGTGTGTGTGTGTGTGTGTGTGTGTGTGTGTGTGTGTGTGTGTGTGTGTGTGTGTGTGTGTGTGTGTGTGTGTGTGGCACCGCGGCTGAGTGTGTGTGTGTGTGTGCGGAGCTCCGCGGCTGAGTGTGTGTGTGTGTGCGGAGCTCCGCGGATTGGTCCATTTGGACTTCGTTACGTCAATAGGACCCGGAAGGAAAAAATGGAAAAAGAAAAATCTCCAACGAGGCGTTCTGGGGCAGCATGGACACGTCTTTTCTGTGTTAGAGTTTTACTCGCTACAGGGTGTAGCAATGAAACCTGAACATATTAAACAGTCTTTCTGTTTTGTGTTGATGATGTTTGTGACATCACAGGGGTTTGATCAAATCATGTACATTTTTATTTGTTTGGCCCAAAGTCGAAAATCACATATAATCCTCACACTGCTTAAGGATTTCTACAACACATGTCTCCATGAGGCCCTGAAGCACCAGGCCAGCACGCTGGACAATTTAGGCTTCTATATTTGCAGTCTGGGGTCTTCAGGTTTACCTTTTTGCAGGTGGGATACAGAATATTGCCACCTGCTAGTATGGAAAAGTTTCTCCTTTCATACAGATGCAGCATGTATGCGCTAGTTTTTGTGTTGTGTTTAAGTGCAACTTTTTGGCCAAGACACAGGGGACATGTGGCGAGACATCACAGCTAGTTTTTTGAAGTTGGGTTTGTTTGTCTGGGCCTTTAGAACCCAATTTTGATTAACAAAACTCCATGGAAAGAAAGGAAACTTCAATGGGCAAAAGACTTGTCGTACTGACAGTGAAGACAGAAGAAGCATTCGCTAAATCACAAAGTTAACAGAAGGAAAACATTGTTACTCACAGTACTGGACCAAACACACCTAAAGCATTGTCATCACTAACATGTACACAGTCGTTTAAATTGGTCTGCTGCTGGATGCTGGTGAGCATTGGGAGACATATGGCTAAGAGAACCCGCCTCATAATTCTCCGGTGACCCACATAGAGATGCCGGTGTTTGTGCTGCCTCTGCACATACACTCCCGCTGCACAGGAGTCTGTTGAACAGTAGGGGAGTTGTGTAATTCATCAATGACAGCAGAGCCCCCCAATGTGTCACACCTGAAGGTCACCTCTCCGGTGTGGGGCTCCCTGCGCCGGCTGGGTAGAGAGGACAGCAGGGCACAGGTGGGGTGCATTCAGGGGCGGAGAGAGGAGCCGTGGGCCCCTGGGAGTAAATAGATCGGACCATGTGATTTCAACACACACACAATAGAGGGTATTTTACCCTCTCTGCCACACACTCTCCGTATCCAGGTGTTAATAATTACTCTAACACACATTACCCTCTCTGTATCCTTCAGCTGGGCGGCCTTCCTCAAGACTTGGCTTCCCTTCTTCATGATCTTCGGAATTCTCGGCACGTTCATCTTCACGTTCAACCTGCATTAAGGGACCAGGCAGGCAATCGGGAGGACTCACAGACTTTGGCTAAACTTTATACATTGTCTTCGGCTGTTGACATGAAATTGTTTTGACGGGACATTTGTTTCATGTACACAAAATCCAGATGATGGACTTCATTGTGTGTTAGGGATCTATTCTCTAGGGGGGTATTTAAGGGCAAACCATACTGTAGCTGTCTGTGCGTAGTTTTGAAATCAATAGTATGTTTTTACCATTTATTTTATTTAAGTTTTTATGATTGAATTGTTTTTTTATACAGTGGGTTCTGTGTTTATGTTTTGTTTATCTGGGGGATTATAAAATGGTTATACCACAGAACTGTTGAGATGTACTTTTCCAAGAATGGCAATGATGAATGTGTTTTCTGACTGGCTAATGTTCATATCGGTGAGGAATAACTCTAAAATTGATCAAAAAATCTTAACGCTAAAAGCATTCATCAACTATTTGTGTAGGAGTTATGAGACGCTACCAAAAAGAGATAAGGAGGACCCATCTGTGAAAAACCGAGGTACTGTCATGCTGTAAAAAACCTACATTAAATCCCGTTTCTTTTGGTGTATAAATACAAGTATATGTTTTATCTTTCCGTGTATTATTTGCTCCTCTCCAGACAGAATTTGAATCCTTACATCCTTAAGTTACTTTAACTGTAATTTAATGGCAATACTATAATACTTATGTCCGTTTTTTGTTTACTTTGTTGATGGTATGTACCCAAAAGAGTATTATTCATTACAGCTGCAAGAATTAGTTGATCTAAAGAGTTATTTGTCATGCAAAAAATGACAGAAACCACATCTAATGTGCAGATATACTGCATCACCTCGGACTCTTAGACTAGGCTGGACCTTTTGACTTTCTTCTAACAATGTATAGGTGAATAATTGATTAATCTAGAAACTAATTGGTATATTAACAGTTCATGGAAGTAATCATTAGGTGCAGCCCAACCATATAATCGTACATTTCTGTTTCTGTGATTTATCTGTTTCTGTGACCTTATTGGATGCTGGATGTGCTGTATTCAGCTTTTCAGACTGCTGTAGGTCACAGGCTGTAGATGCCCTAATCGTCCTCTGTACCTTTAAGGGACCCACGTACCTTTTTCATCCAGCACCATCTGCGTTATATGAACCGACATCAATTTAGGGGGACCTTCATCCCCAGAGTGGAGCAGATGAGGAGGGGCTCGCGCTGAAGCTCTCTCTCTGCAGCATATATTCACTTGGAGGGAACAAAAGCTGTGTACAGAATATTAAAATTGTTCTTCTGTAATTCAATACATCTTTTTAAACTTACATTTTCATTGATCATAATTTAGAGATGTGTGTTTTTGCAGTCCGGCTGTTTTTGGGAGTCCTTTTCTGTGCACCGCGCTCACAGTGCTTGGAGTGTCCTTTTGGCTGTGAGTGCTTTGCTGTCAGTCACACAGTGAAATGTGTTTCTAAAGATCTGCTCACGGTGCCACAAAGTATTCCAGGATATGCAAAGACCGTCATCATCGCAGGGAATAATATTCTCCAGATCGGACCTGATTCCTTTGCAGAGCTGGAGAATGTCAGCAACATCATTTTGAGCAATAATAGGTAAGAATATCACAGTTTATTTTAGTTTCATTACATATCAAGCCATATTACATGCTTACTCTGTTGATGTGTATCTAATAGATACAAAATGTTCTTTGGTATGCACAATTTGATTGTTTTACAGCCGATACAGATGAATAACCAATTGCTTCTTATGACTGATAATAATATGATTTTATATTTCACACTCATGTAATTTTTCAGTTCATAACCCGTAGTTTATGCGCACCTGAGGGTAAGGAAGGCGATATATTGAGAAAAGTTGGGTTGCCCTTCAATGTTCTTTTTAGTTTTTTCATGCATCAGAAAACTTGTATTGCAAATTACAATATTGTTGTCTTCCTCTAAAACTGTAAAACCTTCACACTTTAAAGGTGCAAACCATCACATAGGCTACTGTAGTGTAGTGTTTATATACTGCTTGTTAAGTCAAAGAAACAGTTTGGTTTTGAATGTATCAGCTATAATTGTATTACAGTAAAAATAAACCAACTTCTTAATGTCAGACAATAACTGTTCTGCAGCCATACATATTGTGCCTTCCTAATGTTTATATCTCTGAGTGTGGTTTTATGGTTTATATGCCCAATACATAAAGAAAGGTGTTACAGTGTTAGTCATCTTCCCAGGATTACAGAGATGGCATCCCACAGCTTCTCTGCCCTCAGCAACCTGCGCTTCCTGGACCTCAGTGAGAACCATCTGGCCCTCATCCACCCAGAAGCCCTCAGCATACCCGGCAGCCCCCTTCAGGAGCTCAACCTGAGCCACTCGCTGAGCAACTTCACCGCTCTGACGGACCTCATCACGGCTCTGCGCTGGGGGGGCCTCGGGGGGCTCCTCCGCCTCGACCTCTCTGGGAACCACCTCGTCCTGCTGCCCCCGGGGATGTTCTCGCACCTTCCCAACCTGCAGCACCTCTTCCTCACCAACAACTCCCTTAAGGCCGTCTACAGTGGAACCTTCTCTGGTATGAACCACCTGCAGCTGCTGGACCTCACACACAACGCCTTCACGACGGTCAGCGCTGATGCTCTAGAGGAGCTGGAGATGCTCGGCAACATCCGAATCCTCCTTGGAGACAACCCTTACACCTGCTCCTGTGAGATCAGTCATTTTGTTGCCTGGCTGAATGAATCCAGAGCCCAGGTGGATGTGGATGCTGTGAGGTGTGCCTCACCGGGGGGGTTAAGTGACACCCGGCTGCAAGGGCTCGGTGTCCACGCCCTTGGATGTGTGGTTCCTGTCCAAGAAGAGGCGGATGATCTCACCCTGCAGACATCCTACGTCCTGCTGGGGCTGGTGCTCGGTTTAGTGGGCATGGTCTTTCTCTTCGTGCTCTATCTGAATCGCAAACGTATGAAGACGTGGATCATTGAGATGAGAGATGCATGTCGGGATGTGTTGGAGGGATACCACTACCGATTTGAGCTGGACTCGGACCCTCGACTGGGGCAGATCTCTAAAGATGGCGGAAGCGGGGTACGAGGGCATTCAGGATTAGATACGTCTCAGCAGCTGCCAAGTGACACCCATATTGTCCAGCTTCCTACAGACACTCAGGTTAAACAGCTGACGACCTCTCCACATGTGAAACTATGATCGTTTAATGAAGCTAGAGACTCATTTGACAGTGAGTGATGTAGATGTGAATAGTCAATGCCAGTACATTTACAGTTGAGGTATTTAGGATTCCTACTGCATTGGAGAAGAAAAAAATACCTCAAAGTGCCTTTGTGTTTTCTCAAGGCACACGTTTCTGTAAATCGACCTACATTTTGTGTGTTTATTATACCTTTTATAAAAACATAGGCTAAATAACAGACTATTAAAGAACACAAGATTCACAGAAAATACAAACATATACAAAATAAACCCTAACAAAATAATAAAAAAATAAATAAAGGGGCCGAAGGACTTCAAAAATAAAGGGCACACATTAAAACAATATAATCAAAGTTTAGCTGTCTAGAAGGAGGAATTTATATTGAAACTGTCTGGATCTATGTTTTGAGGTGTGGTAATGCATGATAAACATGGAAAATCATATAGCACTAGTAAAAAAAAAAAGGTGTCGAAGATGTGTTTGTTACAAGACAATGTTAATGTCGATGTACTGTTCATTTAGGTGTTGATATGGACGAAGATTATAGAAGGGAATTACATTTTAAGCATCAATATGTATGGATTACTTTAAAGCACGTATGTATTTCAGACACTGTTTAGTGCATGTGTAATTCTCTGCAGAGGGATTTGAAGGGTTGTCTAATTATTTTCAGCTCTAGAAAATGTATTTAAAGAGAGAACTTTGGGAAGGATGGATCTTGATTCTTGTTTTTCTACTGTATTATTGTTTATGTAACTGTAATTGACACACTATTTATATCTTGAGTAAGGGGCAGGCAAATAAGACTTTCCTCTCAATGCACCTTTTTGGTCAAGGAAAGAACTGATGCGTTAAGACATCATTAGCAGATCAAATAAAACATACATTAATTTGACAACATTACATCATATAAATCATGTGAAGAATAGGTTTCATGAATCTTTAATATGTTAGGATTTATAATGTGACCAGTATTATATTATTGATATGAATATATATATATATATATATATATATATATATATATCAAACCTACCGTAGACAAGTATTGTATTAACAATAATTACAATTCAATTAAACTTGATGTATTTAATTTGTTGTGCCCCTGTTTTATTGGGACCACAAGACTAATATTTTTCCCCAGGTAGGATGGCCTTACTTTTTCCAGTTTAAACAGCGGGTGATTAAGTGTTTCCAAAGAGGGAAAATAGGGCGAAATGAAAAATATTGCTTTGCTTTGCGGCTGTGCAGCTCTGTACGCATGTCAGACCTAGGGTCCGTGTTTGTGTTCATAGCATGTGTGTGCATGTATGAAGAAGTCTGCATGCAGAGGTGCGAGAAGTAGCTACTCAGATCTTGTACTTCAGTAAAAGTAGAAGTACCAGAGAGTAAGAATACTCTGTTACAAAAGTCCTGCATTTAAAATGTTACTCAAGTAAAAGTACAAAAGTACTAAAGTATTAGCATCAGAATATACTTAAAGTACCAAATGTAAAAGTACTCATTGTGCAGATTGGCCCATTACAGATATATTTAGGCCCAATTCCAAACCACGCCCTACACCCTACCCCTACACACTACTCCTCCGTTTGCGCGTTCGCGCGGAGGGTCCGCCACATTAAGTGCTGTTCCAAACCAACGAGTGTGGAGCGGTGTGGAGGGGGAGTGGGTTATCAAGCCCTCATACAAACAGCGAGTCTGCATCGGTGCTAACTGGAGACCGGTCTCTACCTGACCGGACTCAACGCTGTGTGTGTCCGTCAGTTCCAGCAAACATCCACTGATAAATTGCGATGTTAACAACCTCATGATAACCTCATATTTTTTTAACTTAGGATCATACCTGTGTTTAGTCTAGAAAAAGGTAAATGTGTGCATTTTATTATTATATATTTACAGATTGTTGCAAAAACTAAGAAGCTTGTAAAAATCAGGTTGAAAAACTAAAAGAGCTTTACACAAAAGTAACACAATTAAAGATGTTTGGAGTTTTATTTTAGTTATTAATTTAATTTTTTCTAAGTCTAAGAGATGCTGATTTGAAACCGTTGTTACATACAGTTACGGCATTTCCTGTTTCTGCCGGAGAGAGGGGAGTTTGTCCCAAAGCTTGCCGCTGTATTTACTCCCTCCATCTGACAGGAGGGAGCCTCGTTGAGCTGCGACTGCGAGTGTCACTCCACGGAGTTCACTCCATCAGGGAGGGGGAGTGTGTAGGGGTAGGGTGTAGGGCGTGGTTTGGGATTGGGCCATCATGTTTTGATTATAGTTATGCATGCATTAAAGTGTTATCAAAGCTGGTAAAGTTGCAGATAGTTTTAATGACTACTGCAGGGTAGCTTGTGAATTTACATTAAAGTCTTAAAGTGTTGATTATATTTCAAATCATTTTACAAAATCTGCAAAGTAACTAAAGGTATTAAATAAATGTAGTGGAGTAAAAGTACACAATTTACCTCTGAATTGTGGTGGAGTAGAAGTAAATATTCAAGTAAAGTACAAGTACCTCAACATTGTACTTAAGTACAGTACTTGAGTAAATACTTAGTTACTTCCAACCTCTTTCTACATGTCACACAATGTAAAGCCCCCTGGGCAAGACACTTCACCCCAAATTGCTCCTGTGGGGATTGCCCACAGTATTGAGTATGTAAGTGGTTTTGGATAAAAGCGTCTAACAAGTGACATGTAATGTAAAGCGTAGAGTTTCACCATTAGTTGCTATGTTGCTTCACATTGTTACAGATTACAATCTGATCAAAGATTTCTCAATTTTGATCAGATTTGCAGCAATTTGCTTTTAGCTATTCTCTTTGCTGTCCTTAGTGTCTTTCCCTCTTGTTTCCTTCTGCTTTTTACATTGTATTCGTTTTTTTATATCAAGTTAGTTAACAATACAATAACACAAATAAACAGAAATATTTAAACTTAGAAATAAGCAGATGTTTATAAAACCTAATGAAGGGATAAAACATAAAAAGAGTAAAGTAAAGAAAGTCAAAACATTCCATAACAAAAACAAATAGTGACTAAAGTAGTTTTTTCCTCTTTCCTTCTTCTGTGCTTTATATCCGCCTCGCGTGACGCCACGACTCACCTGTGGGTGGGTGAAGGATCTGGGATTAGCTATAGCCGCAGGTAATAGCCAAACATTGGGAGACTCACGGCAACACAAGACTTACACAAGACTGAGTTTTACAAAAAAGAGGACACGCGGCGAATGAGCCGAGTTGTGTTTTTCGGTCGAGGCATCCGACGTTAAGTTTGCAAAGCTTGTTGTTTCGTGGAGGTAAAGTTACCTGAAAATCTGTGGGCGGTGGAAACCCGTCTTTCTTTCTCGTTGTGAAGCGTTAGCAGAAGTTTTCTCCCTGAGACTTCCGCGGTTTCCTCGCTGAACAAGTTATTTCGGGTAAACGACAACCACAAGTGTTTCTTCTTATGCGGTAAGTGAACGTTTTGTAAATACCTTAAAAACGCTTAAATGTTGAGTGAGTTTTGGTCTGAACACAACAAGCTTTTTAGAGTGCAACGAAATGACCCAAATTATTATCACGCTAGCAATCAATGCAGTCAGTTTTATTTACATTGTCAGAATTTCCTGGGAGCCTTCTGTACTGTGTTTACCACATAACGCAGGCTACTTTGTATGTGTCATGGTGCGTTTAATTCTGCAAGCCTGTGTGGCAACAACAAGGGTAGGCTAACACCTGGTTATTATTTCTAAACATGCCTCTCCCACACCAGGTCCCAGGTATTCTGAGCCATGCCTGGCCACAGCTCAGGGGCTCCCCAGGCGTCCCGCCAGCACAAACACCACAGCTCCAGCTCGAAGTACCGACAGACCCGGACTATATACAGGGACAGCACGACCAGCCAGGACTCCTGCAAGGACCCTCATGTGGAGCATAAACATGAGCACCACGCTGACCACTCCCGGCATTCAGACAACAAGTATGGTCGGAGCAAAAGCCACCCACGAAATGGCACCGCTCGGGGCTCAGAGACGATAGGATTTATCCCTGGTTCGGCGGACAGCACCCCTGCCAGTAGACATGCCTGTGGCTCGTGTGCCTCCATGGGCTGGAGTGGCTGTAAGGCTCTTATCTGCTGTATACTGACCTGCGGGTTTTATGGCAGCAGAGAGCCCTGCCTGCCTGTAAATGAGAGCTCCACAGACCACCCCCCAAAAGCAGGCAGTGAGCCTCACCCTCCTAATGGCATGGCGGTGACCAACCCCACCTGCGGGATCCCTTTGGAGCCCAGCAAGTCTACCAAAGCCTCTAAATTGCCCACGAGTGACAGCTTCCGCTACCAGGATGTGCGCTTCGCAGGTCAGATGGTCAGGTATCCAGTTGCTGCCCCCAAACGAACCCGTACGCCCGGCAGGGGGGAGACACAGCGGCCTGTCAGCAACACCAGCCTGTTGTCCCGTGACGACTATGACCTGGATGACCTGAGCGACACAGGCACAGACATTGACTCTCTGATCACCAAGAAGCTGCTGGAGCTCTACGCCCTGCACCAGATTGACCAGCTGGCCAAGTGCACCTCTGACTCCTCTTTCTCCCGCAAGACCAACGAGATCAGCGAGCTCATCTACAGCATCGCTCAGGACTACAACCTGGAGGAGCAGGAGGCCGAGTGCAAGCTGGTGCACGGGGTCATCCGCATCAGCACCCGAAAGGGCAAGAGGAACAAGAGCCATCAGTCGACAGGGCAGCGTCCCAACGGGACCCTCCCCGACAGTGGAAACGAGACCATGACCAACACTTTAGTTAGCAGTGACTGTAAGAATACCTTTAAAGCGTTTAAAATGATGAATTACTTCTGTTAATATTTATAATATACAACATGACAATTTCTTCTGTCTGACAGACTAAATATGCCAATAATCTGATCCGTCTTCCCTAAATGACTCATAGTGTCTGTTGGAGCACTGCTTTTGTTTGGCTTATAGTTTTTTTTAAAGCCCTAATACAACAGGCAGTGACCTAGC